AATTGTTGTAGATGTTCAGGATTGTAATTGTGGTAGATGTCAGGATTGTAATTGTGGTAGATGTCAGGATTGTAATTGTGGTAGATGTCAGGATTGTAATTGTGGTAGATGTTCATGATTGTAATTGTGGTGATGTTCAGGATTGTAATTGTGGTTAGATGTCAGGATTGTAATTGTGGTAGATGTCAGGATTGTAATTGTGGTAGATGTCAGGATTGTAATTGTGGTAGATGTTCATGATTGTAATTGTGGTGATGTTCAGGATTGTAATTGTGGTAGATGTCAGGATTGTAGTTGTGGTAGATGTCAGGATTGTAATTGTAGTAGATGTTCAGGATTGTAATTGTTGTAGATGTTCACAAACCTCTTTTCCTCTAAAAGTTATGGTTAAAACACTGAAAGCTGGCAAAGCATTACCAATAGGCCTAACATTTGTGATAAAAGTCACATAAATCTCCCATTTTTTTCCCCATACTTCTCTTAACCCTATTGCTACTGGTCATGGGTCAAAGGCCATGTCATCTTGTTTGTTGACTTGCATTCAAAATTTTATTGAACTACTATTTTATGAATTTATGTCAATAAATTTGGTATCAAACTGTAGATTATAACTCAAATTTTGGTACTATACATTATTCAATTTCTTAATTTAAAAGTAAATATTAAAAAACACTTAAACATTGATTTTTGTGTGTCACGTGGTGTGTTGACTGCAGCACTGGTTCAAATTAGATGTTTGTGAAGTCAAAATACTAAGTCTGTAGTTTTGTACAAATTAGAAACTCAGATTACTGATATTAACAAGCAAGAATATAAAATAAGAGCCTCTTATCTTTTCTATTTGCTGAGATATTGCTCATGTAATAAATCAAACACAGTGTCCCAGTTCACCTCTTTCCATTTTTGGAAATGGTCCGTTATATACACTTACTTATGTATATGTCATGTGAATAACCAATCTAAAGCTAAGAATGTCCCCTTAGTGGCTTTCTCAGTCATTTTCAAGTGTTAGGATGCCATCTTGTTCTTTCGAAATAAGAATTCAAGGAGGTAGGTTGTGTCTGTAGTCTGCTCGAAATTTCATATTTTTTTAAACCGAAATACAGCTTAGTTACTAAGCCTGATAAATTATAGTGGAATTCTATGGTATTGATATAGTAATATATGATTTTTTTTGGTTATTCAACTGTATATATAAAACCTAATAAAATTTTGTTTCATATCCTCCACGTGAGATATTTTAAAAGGCTTAGCAACCTACATCAAGCAGCAACTGAGTACAAAGGTCATAACTAGAAGAGATAATTGTTTGCTTTACTTCTTTATTTAATGTTCTATGTTTTATGGAAAATTAGTTTAAGAACTTGTTTGTAAATAGTAATAATGTATATATATAACCTATAATAGTGGAAATGTGACTGTATTTTACAAAATGCTAGTTACTAAAACACAGCCAAGATAGGTCCTTTTGTAAAGGCCAGTTTTATCTTCATGGATATGGTAACATGAATGCACATGTGCTGCATCATTGTAACTTCTGTATTGTTAGCCAGGCTTGGTTGAAAGGTCAATATACTAAAAATATATATAAATGTATAATGTTAGGAGATTTAAGCTATTTAGTCTAAACAAATGTGTTTTATGTTATAATTTGTAGTCATTCTAGAATGAAAAAAGTATGATTTATATTTATTTCCTAATTTTTTATGGTGGTTACAAGGTTGGTCAAATTGACAGATATCTGTATAGTTAGGGTAAGGAAAATAACAGACAAAATATAAAGTTTTACTGAAAACGAACGTTTGAAATGTATTTAGGAGGTTTTAGAGATTACATAAATAATATTTGAGGTTTTTGGGACGAAGAATAGTTTTTTAATCATGACATGCAAATGACTTTGCAATCGGACTAGTAACGAAACACACTCGATATTTTCACAAACAAATCTTCAGTAAAAATACCTTATTAAAAAATGTGATTTTTTGTGTACAAGAGACTTGTAATCATTACTAAAAGTCTACCAAATTTTGTGAAGATACACATACAGCATTAAAAGTTACAATATAGATCCTTAATGCATGCAGATGTGTATACGAAATTGTATTTTATACTGATCCCGTCGCAAAAAGGTTAAGTTGTTTATTACTTGTTCAAAATCAGAGTAGTATAAAAATATGATTTCAGGTTTACCTTTTATTAACTATGGGAGACAAAAAAATGGATCTGAAATTAGGGTTGCCACCTTTTCTACAGATTAAATCCAGGCATTTTACGTGTGTGTGCATTCAAAATTGCAAGTCGTTTATAATTCTACTGCAATGTGCCATTGTCAGACATTAAGTCTTGGGAATCCTGAAGCACACATCTGCTTAGTACCGTTGTGTTCTATAAATCACGAGACGTGGATTAGTTCATTGTCTGTTGCTTAGCAATGTGGCATTAACCAACACCTCTGCTTACACCGAAAGCAATTTATTGACCCTGAGGGCAGGAAAATGGTTTTGGGACATTAAGATTTTTAACAAATTTCATAAAAGTGGAATGTACGGATACTTCTAATAAATTAGTGGGAATTCCGTTAATCAAATAATGTACATACAGTTTTTGATGTTGCTTACATGTTTTGCTTAAAACCAGATATTAAGTCTTGTTAAGTGCCATCTGGACACGAGGATCAGTAACTGGACTGCCTGTGTGAAACCAGAACCCTATCTAAAATGCTGGTTTTATACACCCCCAATTTTAAGTCTGTAATAGATAAGTTGGGCGGAATGTAAAAAAAATTAAATTATATGATTTTTGTCACTAATCTTTTCTTCAAGCAACATATCACCAATCTATCATATCAACATATCACCAATCTATCATATCAACATATCACCAACCTATCATATCAACATATCACCAACCTATCATATCAACATATCACCAACCTATCATATCAACATATCACCAACCTATCATATCAACATATCACCAACCTATCATATCAACATATCACCAACCTATCATATCAACATATCACCAACCTATCATATCAACATATCACCAACCTATCATATCAACATATCACCAATCTACCATATCACCAATCTAAGCTTTTATTATGATCTCGACACTAATTTCCACTGATATTGGCTTATACAGATGAATAGAACAGATCATTAGTACAGTGGCTCTTAAACTCTTTTAGTCTGAGGCTCCCTTGATGTGAATAAGAAAGTTTGAGGTCCCCCAACCTATAATTTTAGCATGGTGATTGAAAAACAGTGCCACAGTAAAAACAACAACATCTCATTTTGACATACTGTATCATTTGATTAATTCAAAATCATTTTTATCGGCTTATTGTTTATCTAAAATGAAAATGAATTCAACTTCTTTGTTTTCGGCACATTTTTTGATGACCCCCAAAGATGCTGCGGCTCCCACTTTGGGAAACACTGCACTAGTATACGACTTCTCAAGGCTGAGATACAGGCAAATGTATCACATCATGACAACCAAGGTCGAGAAACAGCTGATAATCAATAAAACTAAATTGTGTTCAGATTATAAGGTCAAGTTAGTGCCGTTTTGTTCACTTCTCTCCATCCTTATTATGCTCAGAAAAAAAAATGCAGGAAATTTACAAACACTAATTTTTTTATTTTTGTGAGCATGCTGAAATCAAGTCAGAATCAATACTTGGGATTTTAACAAATTTGTGTGCATAAAAATAAATAAATAAATCTTAACTCTTGAAGTTTATTTAATGTGTAGAATAAGAGCTACAGTTTTAGTTTTAATGATTATTTTTAATTCAATGGTGGGATGCACTCAACTGAGCATGATGTAGTTAACAAAAACAATCAGAGAGATTGCATATCCTTGCCCTGCCGCTCCTTTTTGCGATTGCATGTGTTTATGTTGGATAACATCAAATTTCACCTATGAGAAATCAGAAAATCCTTCTCTGATCCAGAATGATCAACCTTAATGTGCCCATGAAATTTGGTACAAATCTGATTACACTTTAGAGAGTTATTAACCCAAAACTGTGAAATTTCCCTATCTCCCCATTATAAAAAATGCTTCAAAGTGATCCAGATTCGAATTTGGATCAAGACCAAATATTAGGAGGACTGTCCCATACTGACTTCCCATCTTGTGTACTCCATTATATTAACCTTTAATACATCACAGAAACAAGTAGACTTGTTGTAAGTAGCATGTCAAGTAGTTGTAGACATGTTGCTTTTTAATTTCCTCATTTTTAGACCACTCAGTATCTTAAGATCATATAATTGTTCTAGAATTGTTACCAAAAGCTTATGATCTAATAGATTATTGAGCTTGATAAACTTCTTATGGATATAAAAGTTTGGATAATGAAGAAAACTTTATTATAAGTGTACAACGTTTCAACAAAATTATTTCATCATCATGTACCTAGTAATTTTTGTTGAAACATTGTACATTTATAATGAAGTTCCATTCAAGCTGTCTTTTATTTTTTTTAAAAAGTGGGTTCCTCATCATTAAATCCTTATGGATATGATAGCTATCTCTACCATTTTGAAACCACTCTGTAATTTTAAGCTCATATAGTTGTTTTAGGTTTGTACTATAAACACATAATCTAATAGATTATTGAGTTCGACAAACTTCCTATGGGTATAATCTTGCTATTTGTTTTATTTTTAGTTCCGAGTGATGCTACCTTAAGATTAATGAGGAAGAGAGAACAAGAACTACGACATTCTCAAAGTGCTAGACAAGCATTTTCTTATAAACAGGTCCGTTGTGAGGCCACAAAATTGATTCAACTTCAAGTTGTTCGTGAATTTGGACTCCCAGATTCGGTGGTTGAGGTACTTCACAGACCTATGTATCTGTTTGTTGAGGAGCTAAATGATGGAGACCGCAGACTCGCAACTTGTTCGGTACATCAGGAACCTGGTCGAACTGGTGGTAATTTCAGTTCATTTGTTGGTGATTACAGTTCTCATGAAGTCCAGTGGGGCTATCAGGTAATGTCAAGCAGTAACAAGACCCTCTTTCATTTCTTGTCTTTATCAGTTAAGGAAACATTGTTTCAAATACAAAATTAGGTTATAAATACACATGTATCTTCTGATATTTTTTAATAAAAGTGTTAATCAGTGTTGGAAAGTATTTATGTAAAGATATTTGTTAGTATTGCATTCTTAGGCTTAAAATCTTGAAAATAAGTAATTCGTTATGTTTTATATTAAATTAGAATTTTTCTATCACAGATCAAGTTATATGAGAATATGACTTTCGTAATTTTGTTATATTATTATTTACACGTGCTTTAATAGAATTACATGAAATAGTTTGAATTGTTTGTAAAAAGATTAGTTTGTAAATGAACTACTGTAGTCGTTATGATTAAAAATCAATCAATTTTGATTTTTAGTTGAGTAACTGTTATTATGTACTTTTATCTTATTTTTATTTAATTTGCTTTTCCTTTTTAGGCTTCAGGTGGAGATATGACAAGCTACCTGCGTAGTAACATTCCAGACATTGCTATAGCAACAACAACATTGAGCAAGATCCACATAGCAACAGATAACAGTCCTGATGTACAGTCTTGAGGATAGGTCTCTGTTGTAGTTACTGGTGGTTAATAGTCATGTTGTAAAGACTTAATGCAGCTTTTTTGTAATTTATTACATTGAGTTAGTCTGCAATGAGTACAGAGGCCTAAATCTGCAGGGTTTGACTGCTTAATACACCCACCATCATTTTTAAACTGCTGGTAATGATGGTACATATACTGGTGTAAAGTAAACATTTCAACCTGTAAATATAAAACTTAAAAAATGTATAAAGTTGAATATGGTTGCAGATGCAAGTTGTTATGTAAGGCTCTCTCTAATTAGTGCATTTATCATCCACAGGTTTATATAGATAAAGACTGGCATCTGTTAATGCCTTATTTTGACATCAAAATTATACTTTTTTCTGTTAATAGGGGGAGCACTTTAAAGGTTTTTGATTTAGCCAATGAGCATTAATGACATACGACTAATATTTTTGTCTTGACCTAGCCAGTTCCCCCGTGCTACATCATCACATGTTTCATGTGTTATGGATAATTTGAGTGGACCAATTTTCACTAAATTAAACATTTCTCGCTATAAACATTTCTCATTGACTCGTGTAGTCACCTTGAACCCATGAATTCTTTGTGGAAGAAAATATTTTGTAAAGTTTGTTCTCATGTCGAGAGTGTATTATATATATGTACAAAATTTAGCTAAGCATTCACTTACTACAGACTTAATACCTTTCTGTTTATTCAGGTTAAGGTACTAGTGCAGTATCTCATCACAAGAGATCTGCATTGTTTCGATCTCATCCAGTTGAAGTCTCTTGTTATTTATAGAATCTCGCTTGTGCTACAACATTAAGATAACTAATTTGGCTTGTATCATGTTAAACTTTATTACACTGGTGTTTTAGTTTTTTATAATCTTTTTTGTATTACTTAAAATTTTCCGAGGCTTTGTGACTTTTTTTTTCAAATCAACTTTGAATACAAACTAGATATTCATTCTTTGGTAAATGTTCTATTGTATGATTAGTGAAAACCACAAAGATTATGTTTGTATTCTCACTTCTTATAATGACAAACATATATATACACATTTTTGTAAAGGTTTCATTCTGCTCATTGAAGTATTACAGTCATTTTGTGACACTGTTCTTAGTACTGGTGTGTACATGAGTCTCAGGATAAAGATGATTTAATGATAAAATCTCTTATCAAAATAACCAACAGCATCTTTACAAAATACAGTAAAACTCAACGTTACAGTGCAACGTTTGAACATAAATTGGTTTGTATGTTAGGTGTGTTATCAAGTAATCAAAACCTTGAATTCCATAACCTGGGGTAATCTCTTATCAAAACAACCAACAGCATCTTTACAAAATACAGTAAAACTCAACGTTACAGTGCAACGTTTGAACATAAATTGGTTTGTATGTTAGGTGTGTTATCAAGTAATCAAAACCTTGAATTCCATAACCTGGGGTAATCTCTTATCAAAATAACCAACAGCATCTTTACAAAATACAGTAAAACTCAACGTTACAGTGCAACGTTTGAATATAAATTGGTTTGTATGTTAGGTGTGTTATCAAGTAATCGAAACCTTGAATTCCATAACCTGGAGTAATACCAAGAATATACTGTTTTTAATGTGATTCTAAACAAAACAGTAGAAGAAAGGAAATGATTAATGCTTGTTGCTTTTTTTCATTGTTGATAAACCGATAATAAATATAATTTAATCATTTGTTCACCTGGATACAACTATGTTGTATTTTAAATGGTTATTTTTCCTTACATTGAAATGTTATTGTTTTTATAATGTAATCAAGAGTCAGTAACAATGTGCCGTAGCAAGTTTGAAGACGTTACAGTCCTAAACAACATAAACAGGATACAAAGCTGTTAATAGTTTATACAGAATATAACTTTGGTAGAAACTTTTATAATCGGTGTTTCACCTGGCCTTGTAGATAACATTATTTTTCAATGCCAACATGAGAAGTAAAACTTTTCAGCATTTGGAAAAAACAACAACAAAGGATTCGTTTTTCATTATTAAAATCTCATAGCTGTAAATATGAATGTTAAAAAACTGACATACGTGAAGTTTTTGTAGTAACCTTTGGTATATTTAGCAAAGATGTGATAAATTGTGGCTGAAGTTCATGTGTGTCTCGTTCTGTAGCTCAGAAGAAAAACTAGTTGATCTTATAGTCAAATTACTTTATTCTGCCTTTTTTAGATTGTTTTATTACCTCTTTGTTCAGTCATTAATCAGTCAGTTGAGATTTAAGTTACAGTAACACTATATTTGGTATTGGAGGTGTTTTTTTGTATTTAAAAAAGTCAGTATTTGTATGGCGTACAGCTATTTTAATTCTTAGTGGAGCAAGCTTTAGTACTATTGATAATGGGAAGAAATCTGGCATTCCTTTTTTTTTGGTTTGTAATAATATATAATAAAAATTAAACTGGTGTGAAAATATCACTATACTAAAAATGTAATTTATTTATGACAGTCAGGAAATGCGTAGAAAAAATATGTTTGGTAAATCACATAAAAAAAAGACGTGTCCATCTGTTGAAAGTACTGGGGTTTTATCATGTTTTATATAATTATATAAATATTTATCATAAAAAAGCCACTTTTTAAATCAACTATTTGTGGATATTACCCTTTAATTATATATGTGTTACTTAAAGAGTTTTAAGATATAGTGTGGTTACGCATATGTTAAACTATTTCAGTCAAGGGATTCAGAAACTGAGTGTATTAGTTTGGCTTAAGAGGCTTTTGAGTTACTTTTTTAATGGTGGCAAAGAAAAAAGAACATTATGGTTAAGATAGAAGTCTGAAGTCTATTAAAGCTTTTTGAGCTACACAAACCTGAATAATAGAGTATTCACTGAGGAATAACCATAACAACCATATTACTACTGTTGTAACATGTTCTATCATTGAGTGAAGAATAACCATATTACTACTGTTGTAACGTGTTTTATTGCTGAGTGAGGAATAACCATATTATTACTGTTGTAACATGTTCTATTGTTGAGTGAGGAATAACCATAACAACCATATTACTGCTGTTGTAACATGTTCTGTCGTGGAGTGAAGAATAACCATATTACTACTGTTGTAACATGTTCTATTGTTGAGTGAAGAATAACCATAACAACCATATTACTACTGTTGTAACATGTTCTATTGTTGAGGGAGGAATAACCATAACAATCATATTACTACTGTTGTAGCTTGTTCTATTGTTGATTGAGGAGTAACCATAACAACCATATTACTACTGTTGTAACATGTTCTATCGTTGAATGAGGAATAACCATAACAACCATATTACTGCTGTTGTAACATGTTCTGTCGTGGAGTGAAGAATAACCATAACAACCATATTACTACTGTTGTAACATGTTCTATTGTTGAGGGAGGAATAACCATAACAATCATATTACTACTGTTGCAACATGTTCTATCATTGAGTGAAGAAGAACCATAATATTACTGTTGCAACATGTTCTGTTGTTCAGTGAAGAATAACCATAACAAACATATTACTACTGTTGTAACGTGTTTTATTACATAGTGAGGAATAACCATAACAACCATATTACTACTGTTGTAACATGTTCTATCGTTGAATGAGGAATAACCATAACAACCATATTACTACTGTTGTAACATGTTCTATCGTTGAGTGAGGAATAACCATATTATTACTGTTGTAACATGTTTTATTATAGAGTGAGGAATAACCATAACAACCATATTACTACTGTTGTAACATGTTCCATGGTTGAGTGAGGAATAATTATAACAACCATATTACTACTGTTGTAACCTGTTCTATCGTTGAGTGAGGAATAACCATAACAACCATATTACTGCTGTTGTAACATGTTCTATCGTTGAGTGAGGAATAACCATAACAACCATATTACTGCTGTTGTAACATGTTCTATCATTGAGTGAAGAATAACCATAATGCTACTGTTGCAACATGTTCTGTTGTTGAGGGAGGAATAACCATAACAATCATATTATTACTGTTGCAACATGTTCTATCATTGAGTGAAGAATAACCATAATACTACTGTTGCAACATGTTCTATTGTTGAGTGAAGAATAACCATAACAACCATATTACTACTGTTGTAACGTGTTTTATTACTGAGTGAGGAATAACCATAACAACCATATTACTAGTGTTGTAACAGTTTCTATCGTTGAATGAGGAATAATCATAACAACCATATTACTACTGTTGTAAAATGTTCCATGGTTGAGTGACGAATAACCATAACAACCATATTACTACTGGTTTAACATGTTCTATTGTTGAGTGAGGAATAACCATATTACTACTGTTGTAACATGTTCTATGGTTGAGTGAGGAATAACCATAACAACCACATTACTACTGTTGTAACATGTTCTTTAGTTGAGTGAGGAATAATCATAACAACCATATTACTACTGTTGTAACATGATCTATGGTTGAGTGAGGAGTAACCATAACAACCATATTACTGATGTTGTAACATGATCTATGGTTGAGTGAGGAATAACCATAGTACTACTGTTGTAAAATGTTCCATGGTTGAGTGAGGAGTAACCATAACAACCATATTACTTCTGTTGTAACATGTTCTATCGTTGAGTGAGGAATAACCATAACAACCATATTACTACTGTTATAATATGTTCTATCGTTGAGTGAGTTTTTGATTTTTAATTATGCAACGATAACAAATTAATTTATTTCTTCAATAACGTTTGCCAAATGTTATTCTCACTTTTAGGCTTAAGTTCACAACAGAAATTCACTAATGTACACGTAACTTACTTATGAATTGGCATAATTTTCTCACTAATGGACTGGTAACAAACACACTAATCACTAAATAAATGAGTTGCAGACAAATAGGTGACTAACAGATACTGAAATGATATACATAAAACTCATTAACTCACTCAATAACTGACTGGTGTTTATATCGTTTCTTGTTTTCTTCTTACTACACGAAATTTCTAGATCATCAATAGCTCCCTCTAGCAAACAAACATTTAAACTATAATATTAAAAATGTAAATTCCAATACTACCTCCATTTCTTGGATCGTGAAGTCCCTTTAACAATCCTAATACACAAAAAAGGCACTACGCTAAATTGTCCATTCTAAACGTCTTTTTCCAAGAGTTATTGTATACAGACGGGATGACTTCTTGCTCTCCTGTCACTAGGAAGATGGTTGATCAAATGCACTGGCAGCTCTATCTTTGATGATCCTCTAAAAGTGGTCTTAATAGGAACTCTGGGCTTTTCAGCAGGTTGACCTTTAGCTGGCAAGTTCTTCTCTGAAGGTACTCGGCCCAGTTTTCTGTCATCAAAGTATTTCCAAAGACGATAACGATGTATGACTTTGGTTTGGACTGCCTGCCCTTCTGGATTCTGTAAACCACATCATTGAATCATATGACCCTTCACATCACCTGCTTAACTTTTCAGTTCAACCTTTCTTGCGGTAGGGATTGTACAGCGTAACATATCACCTCGATTTTATCCAGTCTTATTAGCATTAAAATCATACAATCATACTAGCTGACCTAATTCTTTCCTAGATAAAGTAATTTTCTGATATCAGTGGTGTTATTTAGTCTTTGTCTATTGTGTGTACTATTCTGTTAAGTGACTATCCTTCAGATGTGAGTACAGAAGGTTCATTGGCACTTTAAGTTTTCTCCCAAACATCAGTAATGATGGTATGTTATCTGTATCTTCATATATTACCATTTCATAACTCAAAAGTAGCAGTGAAACATTTTGATCCTCATTTTCTGATGTTCATCCACATAAATTGTTAACTGATTCTGAAGCATACAGTTGTATCTCACCACCGCGATGTCAGAAGATAGTTTAATGTGTATTGTCATTGTTTTCTTTTACCCCAAGCACATAACACCTTTCTACAGAGAAAGCTGATTCAAATTTCTATCCCTGATCACAGAAGTTTCATAGGCACCCAAGATACTGAAACAAATTCATTAATGAGTTCCATGCTGGTCAGGAATGGTATATGTTTCTCACCATTTGTTGAAATAGCTTGTCACAACCATAATATATTTATTTCCGCTGTAACTCTGTGGCAGAGGACCAAGCTTATCGACAGAAACTCTTTCAATTAGTGCTCCAATACAGTGCTGCTACAGCTGTTTTTTGCAGGGACCTTTTTGCTTGCAGCATAGTTCAGACAATTTACAATAATTCTCTATAGACCATTAACACACAATCCTATAGAATGGGTTCTGTTACTTTTTCCAGTGCCTTCTTAATACCTAAGTGTCCAGCTATTGGAAGATTGTGGAGTTTCTGTTCATTGATATCTTTCCATTTTCGAAATAACAAGTCCTCTTGTAGGCATAATGAATCTACTGTACTCAATATACTTTTGTATTTGGACTGTGTAGAGCAAGTGTTTGGCACATGGTGTTTTCCTGTGTTATAATTAAACTCGTATTTTCCCCCTGAGCATGTTTCAGTTGAGTGTCGTACTAGATTAGTTTTTATCATTTGTGGATATCACATCTTTGACTGTACTCGGTTGTAATTTAGGTTGGTCATCTATACTATTGTGTGCTCTTTTCATAGAATTTACATTATTCGTTAACACATTGTTTTTGGAATAATGTATTAACATTTCCATGGTTCCATCCAGCATGATGTTAAAGTTGTACTG